GCTGACGCACGCAAACCAGTTTCATCGAAACGATGCTTAACCCGTTCACGGCCATCATTTGAACGGCGCAGATAGGAAAACGGCGATCACACCTTGTCTCAGAAACTCGCGGAGTCGCATCACTTGTTGTCATGAATGCCGCGATACGATTTCAGCGACAAATTTGACCGGTCAATAATTCGATCAATGCTCACCTGCAGCAGGTACCCCTGACATCCATTGTCGCCGCATCCAACAGCTCGGCGCCGACTCAGCAGCCTCCGAGGCAGCACAAGAGCCCCTCCCATCCCCAGCTTTGACCGCACTCGGCCCTCCGCTTCCAACTCCCCTCCTCCTGACCCGCCGCCGCCAACCTCCCCTCGCTGTAAGCACGCCATACCCCCACGCCCCACCCCCACCCCCACCCTCGAAAAGGCCCCTCCTCGATGGCAGGCAGCGACGGAGGCCACGGCCAGACGGCCTACGTTGGCTCCCTTCAGCCTCGCACTACCGAGGCAGACCTTTTCCACCTCTTCTCAAGAGTGCGTCCACCACCCCCACCCCACGAACCCGTTTCGAATTTCCAAGCTTTCGCTCTTTTGCCCTCCCGCGCCCGCGCTTTTATCCCCGGCGTTAAGCCGAATTCGACGCACCGACAATTGCGCCCTGAGCAGGTGGGGCCGGTCTCAAGCGTGCGCGTGGTGAGGGACCCGGGGACCGGGAAGTCGAGGGGCTACGGTTACGTGAACTTCTCCACGGTCAGATGGGACGACTGCGGTGAGGCTTTCCGTGGTCGGGGGGATGGGGGGGCTCGAGCGCGCGAAGCTTTGGAGGTGTCGCCGGCCTGATGTATTGTTTGGGTCGAAGAAGGTGGGGGATGCGCATGCAGGCGTTTGACTGGACGCGTGGGTCATTTGTCGAGCAAGTTTAGAAATGGCGGTGTGGGTGGGGGGCGGGGGTGGAAAATTGGTGCGCAATGGGTGAGGGCGGCGGAGGTTGGGAATTCGGGTGTGGCGCCGCACTGCCCTATGGCTTCAGGGCCTTGGCCCGGTCGGAAAGTGCGTCCGCTATGGTTCAGGTCCCGGTGAGTAATGGAGAACGGCACGGTAAATTCGTTCTCTTTGGCTTCTGTGTCCTGGACGATCACCATTTCGGCTGCTAGATTCTAGAAGTTGAGAAACGTTGTCCGCCACAGTACTTAAATTATTGAGAATGAACTGCTGTCATTCTGCCACGCTTGTAACCGTGGTAATTGCCTCTCAGTCGGCCGTGACCTGCGGCGATTGCTTGGCTGTAAAATGTTCGATTTCAACAGCGCTGTTGAATAGAGGTAGCTGATCAGATAGAAACTCAAACCCTTGTGCGTATGCGTCGAGGATACACGAATCTATGGATGAGATTTCTTGTACAGCATTCTGGGTGTTTGGTTGGCTGGTGAGCTGAAAGTGGCTGCTGACAGTGCCTGTACGCTCGTGATGTATCATGTTGATGAAGGTTTTTGAATGGTTGTTGCAAATGCATTTAGTGGCCAGGGCAGTGGAATGCCTGGACTACACCGTGCTACATGGGGTACCGATCCGAGTGATGAAATTCAGCAAGGAGATCAAGAACAGGAAAATTTCTAATGTTTACGTAAAGGTGAGGATGTCGTAAATGCAAATCAGCGTTCTCTGTGGTAATTATAAAATCCAGACAGTGTTCCCTCATGAGTTCATTTTCAATTGACAACGGACCCATTCAAGATGCTGAAATTTATTTTATGCCGTTTTCTATTCAATTAATTTGACTGCTGTTGTATGTTTTACAGTTTTTCGAAATTTTTTGTCCACCTCGATAACTAACACCGCAGATTTGAATCTCCGGTTAAGCTGTACTGGACTTGTGGCTCGAGAAAATGCACTCTCGCATGGGCTGGCAATATAAAAATGCGTATACTCCGCTTGAAAGCAAAATGATTATACAATAGTTGGATCTCTGTGATGAACAACTGTATTTTCATTTAGGCGAAATTGAAAACGGGCAATAGATATGCGACGATTGTAAATTGTCTTAATAAAAGTGCAATGTAAGCACAGCATATATTGCATATTACTGCGTTTTCTATTTTGCGCATTTAAACTTGTAAACAATTGTGCGTCATTTTCATGAGTATGAGTAATAAGCAGAGCATGCGATCCCCTAGTTTTGTGCCACTTCGTGTACGGATGGCGCATTCACGCTGACAAGGAGATAGACTTCTTAAATATGAAGACACCCATAAGTACAGATGCAGAGAAATACGGACTTTTCCCGCATGCACAGCGATTTCGTTAAAGTGCGATGAGAATGACAATAGAGCAGGTATATTTCGGTCAATTGAAATTAAATTTTATCGCAAATAGTGCATTAAATGGCCCAAGTATAAGAAATTTCAAATCGTTGATGTTAATTCAATCAGGAGACAACTTGGCTAAGTAGATGTGTTGGACATATTTGCATATTAAACAATAAAAATATTCTATTCACAAGCTAATTTGCCAGTAGAAATTAGACGCATTTTAATAAAAAGTGAATAGTTAAAATATTTCGAAAATTTAATCAATTTATGCAAATTGGAAGACATTTGGTTCTCTGATTCTGCAACTTTCAGCATTCAAAGACACCGAATTCGACAGAGTGGCAACCCAAAAATGATTAAGCTCGACGTCGAAATTACCCGCCCTCCCCCCTCCCCCCCTTCCACCACCACCACCACCAACCAGGCTTGTTATTTACGTTTACGTTTGCGTTCTTACGTTTACATTATCGTACTTACATTTACGCTTTTACACGCAAAAACGTGGACTCGGAAAAGACGCTATTTTTGCTACTGTTTTTGCGTTTATGCGGTTCGTTGCGACACTCAGATTACACGATGGAAGTTGCGTACGGTGATCAGTACTCTGTCCCCTCGAGTGTCTGCAGTACAATGTCTACTTCCCACTCAGCAAGGGTCACGATGGAGTGGAAAGAATTCGTTCTCTGCCAATTGCAGTGCGTCTGGATGCCATTTTCCGGAGTCCCGAAGGCTGTATGTACTTTCCTTATGTACACGGGTCTGCTCTTGCGTTGTATTTACGTGTTTTACGCGTTTTTACGTGTAGCAAATTAAAAACTAATTTTCGTGTGAAACCGTGAACGTGAACCGTGTTTACGCCGTAAATAACAAGCCTGCCCAAAACTCCCGCGTCCGCAGCCTCTGCCTACACCCACAGTCCTTCCAGGGTATGCTTGCGCAGTCCAACGCGTCTGCGCCTGCACAGGCGCACCCAACGTTGGCGCAAACCTGGGGTGCCCCAACGTTGGCGCAATTCAAAGGGATTTTGTATAATCGCCTATAGGCGATTATTAGAATATTGCGGATAGCTATTAGAATATTGCGGATAGCTATCCGCGACCACTCTGTTAATTGCCCATGAGTATGCGCTCATTTCCAGGGGCGTCCTTGCAACGCGATCGATGAGGACACCTTGCATGATGCACTTTGCAAGCCTTCTCAAAGCCAGTTCATCTGTGCAACAACAGAGTTGGCACAGGTAGTGGAGTGATTGCGCCGCCCTTTCTTTATGTTGAGCCCCCGCCGACGCCCTTGGCTGGACACTTTGCTCCATCGACGGCCTTACAGCGACGTCATGTGGATGCCTTGCATCTCTCCAAAAGTAAAATGCGTTTATACCCTTTTACATAAGGCATGGAGCTCGTGCCAATCGCGGTGCCTCCCCTTCGAATTGTTTTCTCCAGAGCCCATGGCTGACGCTCGCTTCTACCTTGGTGCTTCAACGCGATGTATGACATGAGCAATGGGGACAGCTTTGCGCGCAAGTTGCTATGGCCACCGAGACTGTTTCCTTGCTCCTGCGGTGCGGTGCCGAAAAAAAATGGGAAGACAGTTGTTAACCGGATGCCAAGGAATTCATCTCTGAAGCAGTGACGCTGCATTTCACAATACCGAAGTGTTAAGTATCTAAAGTACGCGCACTATTTTGATACATTTAAAAACAATACGCGTACCGTGTCTGAAATTGCGAGTGCTGTGACACATTATAAGCATACACACGTGTTTAACAAGATTTCATATGGGCGTGGATGCGTTTCAAATGAGAACGCCATATTTGCTGCGATCACGTAAGGAAACTTACTCTGATATAAAGCAAGCGGACACCAGTGTACTCACATGCCTACCTAGTATTTAGGCATATACATTCTGTCTTATATGATGCGCGTTACTTGCAAGTCGACACTGGATATAATGCTGCTTTCGCACGCAGGGCTTGCCGCCGGACGTCGACTCTAGAGGCCTGAAAGAGGCCTTTGAAGAGTTCGGCCCAATCTCCAGCGCGAGGGTGATGGTATTCGAGAGCGGCGCGTCGAGGTGCTACGGCTACGTGCAGTTCGAGCGACCCGAAGACGCCCGCAAGGCGATCGAGAGGGCGGACGGCGCCGTGACAGGAGGGCACAGGATCCATGTCGAAGCTTTCAAGAGCTACGAGGAGAGGGTGGCATCGCCCAGAATCCCCGCCTGCAATAACGTGTACGTCAAGCGGATACCGAAGGGCGTCACCAACGAGGGGAGCCTCAGGGAGATGTTCCGGAGATTCGGGGACATCTCGAGCGTTTGCCTGCCCAAGGTTGAGATTGAGCTTCTGCACTTCTTCCCTTTTCTCTCTTTGGTTGGTTGGTGGCGGTGGTAGTGGTGGCGGTGGCGGCGGCGGTGTGTGTGTGTGTGTGTGTGTATGGGGGGTTGGATGGATGGACTTTCGTTAGAATTTGACCAGAAGACGATCGTACAGGACACCTCGTACCCGCAACATTTTGGAAAAATGCGAATGGCTGCCTCATATGTTATTTCTAGACAACGGTAATTTGCATATTCTTATTTTCTATTTCATGTTTTGGAATAGTGTGTGTACTCGCCCAGGACACCCGATGGACGCGAGCCATCAACATGCTATTTAAATTGCATTCAAGGAACGAACTCACTTGCAGCTTTGTGTTTGTCGCAGGACGAAAATGGCAGGAGGAAGGGATTTGGCTTTGTCAGCTTTTTTAAGCCCTCAGGTGCTGCCAGAGCGATATTAGAAATGAACGGCAAGGAAGTCGGTGGAGCATGCCTGTACGTGGCACAGGCTCAGAAGAAGGCTGAAAGAAAGAAAGCACTGGAGCAGCGGTGGGAATCCCTTCACTGCATTCTCGCGAGCGTCGTTGAAGCTAAAGGACCTAAGCGCGGATGTCGCTGCAGTTTTAACAATAGAAATGTAGTGCATGATGGTTAAACAATCATCATATTGTCATATGACATGCATGTAGCCGCAGCAATTACATCAATTATGTAGAAACAACTGGCCTCACAGGTTGTGAATAGATAAAACAAACTGATGCCGTACGTGAAAACGCCACCGCAATACGCATACTATGAGGTCGCACCCTTCATTGCCTGGAAGGTTCACAGACGCCGATCTGCCCAAGGTAAATCTAAAGGATATAAGCATAGTGGCGACATTGAAAGGCAAATTTCGCCCGCCGCTCAGATTCTCTGGGAACCAACGCAACAGCAAGGAGTCTCTTTACGAGACAGGCATTTGCATCAAAGGGCTGCCGCAAGGGCTGGGGGACCTCGAGTTGAGGGCCGCATTCAACAAGTTTGGAGAAATAAGCTCGGCTGAGGTAGGGTATTTCAGAGACAGCGTTGGCAGTCGTCCCTTCGTTACTCACAATGACAGATTCGATGGCGCTGAAAACGAAAATCTGATGATCCTGTGCACCATGCTGATGCACTCAGCGCAAGGCAAATATGGTCACTGTGGTATTTTCCAATGCACATCCCGCTGTTAATTGGTGTTGACAACAGCTATCAATGGAGAGTGCCAGTACACGGTTATGCACATGCTTCCGCATGAGTCCAACCGCCTTGCCGACTCTATGCGCGCAGGTAGTTAGAGATGAGTGGGGACGAAGCACGGGCGTCGGGTTTATATGCTTCGCCACGCCCTCGTCTGCGGCCTGCGCTATCGGGGGGATGAACGGCAGGGTTCTCCGGCAGTACCCCGAGAGCAGGCCACTTTACGTGGCCGTCGCCCAGCCCGGGCAGGAGCGGCACGCCAGCCCCAAGGAGAGCTTGCCGATGGGCCAGCCCTTGGCGCCGCCAGGCCTCGCCATGCCGCACAACCGAGTTCCCAAAATGCAGCCGGACACAGCCATTCAGCACATTCCTTCCTTTTCCCAGCGTTCATACCGCAAACGCAGCGGGGGCACCGATCTTCAAGGACACAAGTCGCTTTGCAGCCTCGACGCGCGTGGAGAGCTTGGCGTGCAGCAGCAGATTGTGGATGTATACTGCCCGCCGCCCGGCGTGGAGTTGTCACCAGACATGGTCCTGTTCCCACAGGGACTGGACCACTGGCGGGCGTCCAGGAGGCATGGCAGACCACAGAGAAGGGTGGGGAGCATGAGCATTGATTATGTCGTTCATTCTATTGAATTTTCGATCATATGGAAGTATGGTTGTGTTATTGAACCGTTGGCATTTAAGTGTACTATCTTGCATACGCGCGTATTGCGTAATAATCGCTCAAAAGCGCCATGCATATACATGCTGTCAGTGTCCTCTTTGGCACGTTGGTTTTCAACGAGCAAACGTGGAGCTTTTTGGATGTAAAAATGCCGATTTTTTTGGATTTCAAACTACTACATTTGGATTGTGATGTAATATATTGAAACAGAAGTACCGAAATGAAGAAGTGGACAAGATATGATGGGTGTCGCGATTTATTCAAGTGGAGCCACCCACCCACGCCGCCCCGCATCGCGCCCTCGCTACCCTTCCCAATTTGCTCAAAAGTGGTCACAGATGAATACAGCCTTGAGCGGATATTTAGAACGCGGGTAGCGCCTCGCCGATCTGTAGATGCGCGCACAGGAAAATATTCAGATGCATTTTCTTTGCCTTCCATGGCGTATGCACATGAAATGCTATCCAGGGCTGTGTTTCGTCATTTTCTGACAAACGTATTCCATGGATTTTGATGACAATGGCGGCCTATGCACATGGCAACACAACGTCATTGCAGAACGTCTTCATGCTGGCATGCAGAATGTTCCAAGCGCAATTGCGGTACATTATGATCATATCTGCCACCAACATTACTTCATGGTCTTGAACAGACTATGGAACCATGCGGTGCAACTCGCAGTGGGAAGGTCAATGCTGTGCCGAGCATGAGAACACTTGCCGTTGTCTGTGTTCATGGACCACCACACTGGAAGCCTGCGGAAAGCCTGAGCAGCGTTTGCTTCTGCATGCAGCCATATGCAACTGATGTTGTTGCACTGCCTTGTGACATCTCCAGGGAAGATAAGAGAGAGAAACAGAGACAGAGCGCATTGAATTCGCTGGGCACGCCATTTGGAGGCTCTTCTAATTTTGGCGTCAACCACGCAGGCGCCGTGAAGGCATTGCAGCTGAAATTCTCTTTGGAGTTGCAATGGGTATTAAATTTGTATGATAAGATTGGGTGAACAAGAGAGTTCTGATATTCATTAAGATGATGATGGGGGCGATGGTGATGGTGATGGCGGTGAAGCAGAAATTCATTCATTGTGTGTCAGCCATTGAGGGGTATGTTGCCACCCGGCCACACAAAAACAATGTGTTCATTGTTGGTCCCATCCTTCATCGTCGCCCTAATACAAGTTCCCGTCTCTGCATTGTGGCCTACAGTCACTCCAATGTAACATTCGCCTTTCCATCTCATCCTAAGCACTCCAATTATCCTCCCCATCCCCAATGTACATCGCAACGCACCAGAAGCCCCGAGCCCGCACTGCGACACGCAGCCACGCCCAAAGCTTTTAAAGGAAAAGTCCCATAGTTAATATTTCTGACGTGTTGAAAGCTGTGCAAACGTGACACAGTATGCAACATGTATATTGTAATGCTACTTCAGACACTTTAGAAATATAAATACAACTGCCATCTCCGCCTTAGTCTGCAAAACCGCTAGGAAATCCATGTAACTGGATACGTTTTTCCAAGCCATGTCGTACAATATATTAATTAATGTACAAGGGGAGACCCGTGTTTGTTAAATGGACTGGGTCTATGATGGATAGTAGGTACATGATGTACCTACCACCGCGGGCACATCACATCACATAGCGCACAAATACCGAATCCCTTCATCCTACTGTTTTCATCCTGAGATGGACGCAAGGCAAGAGCAGAGGTCACCTCTTCAATGCAGCTCACCACGAACTGCTCATGAACTGTATTGCCTTGTGCCATGTACATCCAACGATTTCAGCACAACGACAATAATGAAAGGCAATGTAAGCTGTGCGCTCCACTCAGATTTCTCAAAACCAATTCCCCATTGAGGAATCTGTTTGTGAGAGAATATCTACATAAAACAGATCTCCATAGGTTTGGATAATGTACAGCTGAGAGCTGTCCTCAAAAATTTTGGAGGAATGACTCAGGAACAGTGCACAATTTGAGCTACAGTGCTGATAATTGGCAAGCCACAATTTAGAACAACGGATTCGATAGGCATTGAATGCGGCAAGCTGGCAGGTCCTCCTCCTCCTCCTCCTCCTCCTCCTCCTCCTCCTCCTCCTCCTCCTCCTACCTCCTCCTCCTCCTCCTCCTCACCTGCCTCTCCTCCTCCTCCTCCTCATCATCATCATCATTTTTTACCGAACAAGGAAATGAGGTAGCCGCCAGATTCCTATTCCGCTTGAGCAAAGTAGAGTCTGTGATCAGTCATTGAAACCTAATAGCAAACACAAACAGAGTCTATGCGTCTATTAGTTCCTGATGCTTAGTAGCGATTGTCGCTGATAATACACCAAACGAAGTGCCCTTGCCAGTTGGCGAGCGGGAACTGAAACAATTGCGACATCGAAAAATACAAAAGTGACTTCGACGGGTAATATCATACACCTGGCAGTGGAAGAGAAAGTGGATCTCGTCTTCTAGAGCCAAGTAGCATAAAGGACACAATTGCCATGGAAATTCTGGAATGAATTTTCGTGCTTGGTGTCGTTGCTTTTCAACTTCCAGAAAATCCACCCCACAGCCAAGTCGCAGGAAAAGCTCCTCAAGGAGATAGGCTGTAATTACGATAGAAATCGCTCATAATATCGGTAGACTGCATTGATGTATTTGTACCATCGCTGAACCCTTAAAAAATTGGTTTGAGAAGACACTGGTAATATGAACGTATTTATAAATTCGTTGAAAAGACTGTACATCAATTGGTGTAGCCTCTGTTGAATTCCTTTGAGATCTGGCCAGCATCAATGGAAAAAGGCAATTATGCGTCAATACCACGATCGAGGATTGGCTGACAATTTTTGAAACATGGACTTGAAATGAACCCGAGAGCTGGGAAATCCCACCATTCGATTCCAGTATCGCATCAACTATCTCCATTGGTAAATTTCAAAAGGAAGTGCCTCCATTTCGGCGTATTAAATCCCAGTGGCGCATGGTCAGGGAGGCAAAGAGCTTGGCGTAAAAATTGAGTCTGGAACATCACTAATGATTCCATTGAGTCTTCGCCCCAAACAAAAAAGGCGTATCCAAATAATGCCAGAACATAGATATTGAATAAGTTGTATGCAATTTTTGGGATTGGCGGTGCAAATAACACGTAACCTTATGGCTGGCAACTCTCCGCACACTCTCGATGGATTATTACATTGACGGTGTGTAGAGAAATTATGCCCACTGGGGCGTTTCCCATACGAACACCCCACTTTTTCTTGGGGCTTGACAATGGTTGTTAGTTGAGAACGTCGTCATATATTGAACAATGATCAAAAACCTCCTTGCAAATGGCTGAATCTTCCTATAAATAGATGAGCGTTGCCCTTAGCCACCAAATTCTAGGTCTTAGCCACTTGCTCCTGTGTCCCTACTCCCACCAATTGGGTTTTGTGTGACCACGACCAACAAGGATAGGAAAGGGTGGCGTTTGCCCTTCTTCACTTGACAGAGGGTCTAGTGGCGGTTTGGCCACCGAGCACTCAACTTTTGCGATAGGCGAGCAGAGCTATATATTATGGGGTGGGGCCAATATAGTGCCCGCGACTTTGGCAGCGATGGAGACCATCCTGGAAAGCAGCAAAGGGCAGCGCTGTTTCAGAAAATGATTTACCAAGAGTACG